GTAAGAAAATTAACAGTTAATTCTATATAATCAATATATAGTCCATATAAAATCTCTTCTTTTAAACCAAGTTTGGGGAGATCTGTAATAGCATCAATAGAAAACAAATACAACTATTTTTATTTGTAAGAAAATTAACAGTTAATTCTATATATTCAATATATAGTCCATATAAAATCTCTTCTAATTATCTCTAGAAAAGTCTTTTATAAATTTTTCCCCAAAATCTAGGATCCAGTGAAGTTTACACGTTACATTTGGTTTTTTGTCTCTTTGGTCTCTTTTAATCTAGAACAGTAGCTTTGCCTTTGTTTGTCCTGACATTGACTGTTCTATTTAAGAGTCCAGGCTGGCTGTCTTATAGAATGTCCCTTATTCGGGATTTGTCTGAGTGCTTTTCACATGATTAGATTCAACTTAGATAATTTCTTGGCAAGGATATACGTCATAGGCAATGATGTGCACTTTTTATTGCTTCAAAGCTTGAGGCTCTTATCAGGTTGTCTAACTTTTGGTGAGTCTAAATTTGATCACTTGTTTTAGAAGATGACTGTGATTCTTTTATTGTAAAAGCTATGGCTTTGTAATTGATGTCATCTGTAGGCTAATATTTTGAGAGTTTCAAATATGTTGTTCTCCAAAAACTTTTCACCTAATGACTTTACCATTGATTGATGATTCTTGCCTGCATTAGTTATTACATTGGAATTGAAAGATGCATTATTTTTCTCATTCTGTGATTTCTTCTATATTTATGAAGCAGTATATTTGTAAACACAGTCATCCCCATGGTATACATGGGGGATTTGTTCTAGGAACCAATCAGAGGATGCTCAAGTCCCTTATGTAAAATGACATCGTATTTGCATATAACCTATGCACATCATCCCATACACTTTAAATTATTGCTAGATTACTTAGAATTCCTAATACATCACATCACTTTATTTGTGAATTTACTTCATAGTAAAATCAAGTTTTGCCTTTTGGAACTTTGGGAAACTTTTTTGATCTGTAGTTGGTTGAATCTACACATGTGGAACCCACAGATATGGAGGGCCAACTGTATAAGCTTTTCTATTTCCCTGTTATTGCTTCTCTCTCTCTCTCTCTTTGTCACTCTCTCAATCAGATGACTTAGGACATTTTTATGACTGTTTATAACCCATAAACCTCTTCAAGAACAACACTGCTCTTTTGAATCCCACTCATTTTAGAGAATTTCTGTGCTTTCAGACACAACAGAATATCCCAGATTGACCTTGTCCTGTCCCAAACCGGCAATCAAGCACTTTTGTAAGGAGAGGGATCTCTGGTTCCTTTTAATGAGGAATGGAATTTAGAAACCAAGATCTGGGTGCTATTTTCACTCATTGTTCTTGAGATGCAATGAGTTATTGATGCAATTAGCTTATTGATTTTTCAGTCTTTTTTCTTCTCTATCAATTTTCTTGTAAGTGTGGGGTTGGCTATATCCCCAAAGTTTTGAAATAAAGCATTTCATTACACTCACTTTAAAATATTTTCTAAATTGCTACTGCGATTTCTTCTTTGAGACACAAGTTTTTAAAGAAGATTATTACTTAATTTCCAAATCTATGAGGATTTTCTGGTTTTCTTTCTGCTGTTGTATTATTTTAGTACTTTTCTTTTTTGGATTTACTTCACCTTTATTATGAACAAACACAATCTCAGATTAGTACAATTAGCTTCAGAGTTGATATTAATATAAATTATTCCAAAATTATTCCTGTCACAAGTAACTACTATCCTACATAAAAAGGGAAAAATCCCACCCAATCAAAAGTATCCTCTGTATGTTTCCATGGCAATGTGTTGTTTATGCATTCTCAATTTTTTTCTGGCTAGTTATCCACCACTTCTCCAATGGATTCATTCCATCTCTTGGAGAACCATATAGACTAATGACAGCATCTGGGACACATGGACATATCAAGATCATGGTGGACATTGTTATTATAAAAACTACTCAGGTCTTGAGAATTCCTGTGCTGAAGGATCCCAAAATGCTTTATAAACAGTATTAGTCACGCCTCAAAACTGCCCTTTGAGGTAGGTCAGTATTATTATCCCCATTTAACAGAAGGAAAACTGAGGCACATTATAGTTAAGTGACTTGCCCAGGGTCACATAGCAAGTCAGTGGCACAGTGGTAGGAGAGGCCCTGGCCTTAACCACCAGCATAACATGGCCACCTCCCTTTTTTAACCTTTCATGATGACCTATTTGAGCTACACTTACAGAGAATACACTCAAGATACTAGCAAACCAAGGAGAAAATTTTCCATTTTAAATGCTACAACCATCTTTTAACCTAAAACAAAAATTATAAATCAAATACATTCAAATTACTTCCACCCTCCATCAAATGTGGGCACTTAAGAAAAGCAGCCCTAACAAAAGTTTCCAGAATGAATCCCAGAAGGGAATTCTGCAAATCACGATACTGTTAATCCTCCACTCAGGTCCCTTTTTCTACAAGCCACTTCAGTAGGCTCTCAGGTGCAAAGGGATTCCACAGAGGGAGTGAGGGCAGGCTCATATGAAACACTGTGATGTAAGGCACACAGTGTTAAGATGTAAGATGTAAGGCACCCGGGTTAAGTTGTCAGCACACCACCAAAGCAAGGACTGTTAGAAATCCAGACTCTTGATCAGATCTGAGTTTATCATTAATGTGTCACTTGAATTGAGCTTTAGAATCTTGAAAATAGTGTTCCTTACTCAGCAGACACACCCCCACCCCTATCCCCACCCACACCCACACAAACACTGGGGCCCTCAGCCTGAGGTGCCATCCAGCCTGATGTAGGGTCATGGTACAGATCAGATCAATGGCACATGATTACAATAGGAAGAAGTGAAACTTGTTTTTTATTATTCATATATTATCAAGCAGGCCTCTGATGACCTGTGGAATTACAAATACCAGCAGACATTTCCAAGGGGTAGGCAAACAGGTCAACAGAACTAAACTACAGTGATCTTCCCTTAGATTCTTTTCTACTGAGGTGAATAGCTCAAAAGACAAAGATGCCTTTAGTTCAGGCTAACCCCTGTAGCCTCTCTGCAATTAACACAGGAAGAAAGGCCCTCCTCCCTGCCAGCACTGGCGCTCAACAGTGGACTGAGTGTTTGGTAGCGTACATTTCCAATCTTAATAGAGCAAAGCCAGGCTTCTGCTTTGATGACTGAGCTACAGGGACAGGAGTGGTCCAAGGTTCTCAAAACACTAATGTTCTGTTTTTGTTTTGTTTTTTTCCCCAGACTTCTATACTATTGTCTGCCCTAGGCTGTAGGGAATACAGGTTAGTTTGCTGAACAGACACTCTGTTCAGCAGGGTTTCTGGTATCTCAAATCCCAGGTCTCAGCCAAAGCTTTGCAGTTCACCCTGACTCCAGGGAAGAGGGCCTCTTTTCAGGGTGAGGCACTTGGGTTCTTGCCCTTGCTTCTTCCCAGTGAGAACTGTTTCCTTCTACTTCTACAAACACTGTACTGCCAGCTGAGAGCACTGACTCAGGCGGGTCACCCTTACCGAGCAAGCAGGGGGCATTCAGCATGCTCTCTGGTTCTGACCCTGACAGAGGGGACTGAAAATAAACCCTCTTTTGCTCTGTGGCTGACCCACCGGCTCAAAGTGAGCACTTGGATTGGCTGTGCCTCATGAGAGAAGGAGAGAGAGAGAGAGGCTCTCTGGGCCAGAAATGTTTCTGGGAGGGTTTGCCAGCCCTGTCTTGAGCCATCAGTGTGGCAGGGGAGCACAGGGGTGTAAGTGGAGACACTCTGGAGGCCACATGAAAGTGGCAGCTAGCTGTACTTTCGAAAGAGAAGCAATGGTTCAGTGACCCTGAGCATTCTGTCTGCAGGAGGGAGCTGCCTGGACAGCAAGTCATCACTGCCTCTGAATACACGCAAAGGAAGCTGCCTGTCCAGGCAAAGAAAAAAACGTTTAGGGGAGAGAAAGATCGGGTAAAAGAAAAGGGACAGACAGGGTAGAGCCAGGAATCAAGAATCAGGGTAGTGAAGAGATTCCTAACCCTGCCCTCCAGGCAGTTCTATACTTTAGGCTAGATGTTAACAGAGCCACAAAAAAAAAAAAAAAAAGAGAGAGAGAGAGAGAAGGGGCACAACACTGTGGAGAGAAGCCTTCTAGTTTTTACTCATTTCAAAAAGAAACTGGAACTAATTAATGAATGGACGTAATATCTAGCTTACTTCATTAAGACTCCCAATAGCTCAGTAACATTCTCAAGCCCCTGGCAACATGTATTCAGATCCCTTCCAATGTGAAGTTCGCTGTTAGAAGCTGCCTATAGATCCTGTCCCTCAACCTCTCCATCTCATGTCCAACAGTGGACAGGAAATTGGCGACCCAACGAATTCCTCCTCTTCTTCAGAGTTTTTTCAAACATCCCTCTTTGGGAGGGAAATACTCTAATAGTGTAACGTTCTAAGCAATGTATATATGTATATATATTTTATGTTTGACCCGACTCCACCTCCTAAAATCCTTCCCTTTTTTTGGATGTTTGGAAATGCTACAGCCATCTTATTACTATGAGGGGAGCAACCAATATCCTGAAGATGGCAGAGCAGAAAGAGGAAAGAATTGTGATGAGCAGCTCATGGAATCCTCAAAATTCTATGAGCTGCTGTTTTTACCAATTCTGGAAACACCCAACTTCAAGAATTCTTGATACATGAACTAAGAAATCTCCTTGTTACTAAAGAAAAAAAGAAAGAAAAGAAAACCCTTCCCCAGCAGAGACCATTTTTACTACAAACTCAAAAAAACGTCTCTTCTTTATCCTCAGCCTAAACTATATGTTGTGACATTGAACTAGCATTGCCAAACACCACAGCCACTTCTTACCCCGAGCCAGGAGAGAATGCAAGCATGCTGTGTGGTGGAGTTTGAAGTCCTCACTAGGTAGGCAGCTGCACGTCTGATCATGGCAAGAGGTTCCTCTTGCTTCACTTCCCTCGTCCTTACATTCATACATGCTAAATCTCTCCTCTGACAGTTTACCTGCTTTAGAAGCTTTGTGTCAAATGAAGTTGCTTTTCCATTCCATCTGGCAAAAGCCTGGGCTGAAGATAATTAACAGGGGACTGCCCAGAAGATTCTGTTTTATCTCTAGCTCAAGCCACCTACTTCAAAGCTCACAACAGCTCAAGGAAAGACAGCTATCTGGAGCAAAGACCATTCGTTTAAGGTTACAGAAAGGTTGTCTAGGCTTTGGAAGCTGGACACTGAACAAAGACTGACGAGCTGCTTGCCTGGGAGGCAATAAGAGAAAGAAGGGCGATAGCAACAAAGTGAAAAGGAGGACAATGGGCCTAGAAGAGAGAGAGGATAAGAGAAGAAATAACATCAGCTTAACGTCATAAAGGCAGAGTTGTTGGCTTTCAATACTTTTGTATTTTAAAAGAATACTGTACTGGAATGGGTTGACATAGTCATCTTTAGCATCCTGGTAGCATTATTCAGTAGTTAATAAACAGACATTAAAACCTCTGCCTGGCTGGCTTTTGTAAAAGGAACCTGAGGGACCCCAAACTCAGCCACTCTTGTAGCTTCAGTCTCCGATTCTTTTAATGCTGGCCAAGGTGGAGGCCTTGGAGACTTTCTTCCGGTCATAGGCCAGACCCAGGGAGGCCATGCAATCAATGAAGAATGTGGTGAAGCTGATGTGCCAGCAGTACTCACTGGCACAGTAGTCATAGGGAAAGGAGTGGTGGTACTCGTGGAAGCCCTCACCAACAGCTCCAGGTGAAACCAGGACATTCTCCCGGGGACTAATGTTCTTGTCATAAGGACGATATCCGAAGAGGTGAGCAGCACTGTTCACCAGCCAGGTGGCATGAAGCACTACAGCATACCGCAAGAAGGTGGCAATGAACAAGCTGTGTTGAAAAGTTTCACCCCAGAAACACCAGGGCACAAGCGTGGGCAGGGTGAAGCACATATCAGCAGCAAACCGGGGTTTGTAGTACCCCCTCTGGAACATCACCAGTTTCTCGGCTTCTAGATCAGACAAGTCTAGTGTACCACCCTTCTCTTTGACAGCTGAGTGTTTGCACAGCCAACCCACGTGAGAGAAGACAAAGCCATGTCTGGAATTACGAGGATCAGCATGTGTTTCTGAAAACTTGTGATGGGCATGGTGGTCGTGAGCCCATTCATAGATACCATTCTGGAATGCCATTGTGTTGGCAATGATCAGAAAGAGCCGCAGGGGCAGCCGAGCTTTGTAAGAGGGGTGGCTCCACAGAGGATGAGCTCCTGCTGTTATGTCCAGGGCCCTGACAAAATAGTAGAATAACCCCCAAAGCCAGGAGTAGAACTTGCAGGTAGGAATCAAAGTGATCCCAAACAGGGCACCCAAGTGTAGCAGAGACATAAGGATGACGTTTCTCCAGACATAATTAACCTTGGGGCTTGGGCCTTCCTTATCATTATAGGTGGGGTCATATATATCATCTTTTATACCAGGGCGAATGTCTTCTTCCAAGTAGAGGGGCATCGTCTCCAACTTATCTCCCCCATTCTGCAGGACCCTGGAGGGAGGCGCTGTGATGGTGGTGGTGGTGGTACGGGAGCTAGAGATAACTCCGTCCTGTGTTCCCGCCCCCCAGGCATGTCGCAGGGGGACGTGGCCGCCTCCCCAGAATCGGGAGCTCTGGGGACGCGGGCAGCCTCGCCCCCCTCCTGGGCGAACGCCGGGTGCTGGGTACCTATGTTAGTACTTTGAAGAATATGAAGACTTGCCTGGCCCAGCATATGATCAGTTGTGTTATACATTCTATGTGAACTTGTAAAGAATGTGAATTCTATAACTTAGATGTAAGTTTATTAATACAGATCAACTTTGTTAGTAATGTTCAAGTCTACATCTTGATTGATTTTTAACCTGTTTTATTATTTGCAAAGAGAGATGTGTTAAAATCTCCAATTATGGCTGTGAATTTGTTTTTTATGTATTTGTTTTACCTAGAGAAAGACAATGTTAGTAGGTACATAAAAGTCTAGAATTGCCATATCATTCTAGTGACTCAAAGTTTAATTAGGAAATATTCCTCTTTATTGGTAGTAATGCTTCTTGCCACTGTTAGTATGAGTTTTCTTTTAGTTAGTTTTTGAACACTATTTTTTTTTCATCCTTTTACTTTTGGTCTTTTATTTCAACTTAAGAAATGTCTTTTGTAAGCAACATAGGTTTTTAAATTTTTGTTTTAAATCCAGTCTGAAAATCTTTGTTAGTGTTTTCAGTCTATTTACATTTACTGTAAGTACCATTATATTTGAGTTCAAATCTGCCACGCTACTCTCTGCATTCTATTTATCCACCTTTGCTGTGCTCCTTTTTTCTTGCCTTCTCTCAGATTAAGTATTTTCTTATTATTTATATTTTCTGCCTTGTTAGACTGATAATTATATATTATTCTTTTAGTGGTTACTCTAATGGTTACATTGCTGACTCATTAAAGTCTAATAGAAACTAATACTCAGCATTTCTTAGATAATGCAAACACATTGGAATATATTAACTTGATGTATACCATTCCTGCTTTTTGTGTTATTAAAAAGTATTTTAATTCCTTAAAACATTGTTTATATTGTTTTATAAAGTCAATATTTATGCAGATTTATGTTTATTATGTAGTCTTACCATTGTTTTTCACTTCCGATATATCTCTGTGCTGCCTTGTTGGATCATTTTTCTATGAGCAGATCCTTATAGCATATCTGAAATATTTACTGACACAATTACTGACATAAGAGTACATGTTAAGAAATGAATATGGGCTGGGCATGGTGGCTCACACCTGTAATCCCAGCACTTTGGGAGGCCAAGGTAAGCAGATTACCTGAGGTCAGGAGCTTGAGACCAGCCTGGGCAACATGGTGAAATCTCATCTCTACTAAAAGTACAAAAATTAGCTGGGCATGGTGGCACACACCTGTAATCCCAGCTACTCGGGAGGCTGAAGCAGGAGAATTGCTCGAGTCCGGGAGAAGGAGGTTGCAGTGAACCGAAATCATGCCACCGCACTCCAGCATGGCCGACAAAGCAAGGTTCTGTCTCAAAAAAATATATATATAAAAGAGAAATGAATATGAAATATAGCAGGGATACAGAAGACAAGTAAGTTGGGAAGTGTTAAATTTGAAGGATTGGAAGGAAGGTCAAACAGGAGCTTATTTATAAGAGAGCTTCTTATTTCTTCAGACTGACAACTGGCTTACAGGTTTAAGACTCCTAACCCATCCAGTAATAAGAGTCAACGTTAAAACTTTTAGGTGAAGCTTAAAATTGGTAAGACGTTGACTTTGAACCATGAATGGAGTTGGTCCAATGACAGTCTTTTAGATGGGATGCTGTGTTTGGAGTACAATTATTCCATTCAGATTGCTCTCTTCCCTCTACAATTTATGCATAAGCACAGAGGAGGAAAAGCCTGTAATGAAAAAAAAAAAAAAAAAAAAAAAAGAAAGAAAAAGAAAGAAAAAGAAAAAAAAGAAAAACAAAGAGGCAGTGTATATTTTTTAGATTCTTTTAAGGTATGGATTCTGAGACAGACAATCCTAAAGTTTTAATCTCAGGTTTTATACTTCCAAGCTATTTTGCCTTAATTAATTATCTCTGCCTCTTTCTCTCTATGATCTTTTCATTTCCTCAGCTAGACAATGAATATAATGAGAGTGCTTATCTTGTTGGGTTCTTGTGAGAAATAAATGAGATTATCTTTAAAAGTGGTAAGTCCATGCGTTGCACTTAGTAAGAGCTCAATAAATATTAGCTGCCCACACTCATACAGTCTTTCAGGGAGACTGATGACACAGGGCAGCATTTCATCATGACAATTATATGAATACAATGTTTTATAGAATGTATGTGCAGAAGGAGACATTTCCACCCAGTTTGGCATAATGTCTGTTAAGAGAAACAGGTAAGTATAGTAACAGCCACACTAAGATCAGAAAGAAGTGGTAGAAATGACCTGAGTAATGGCTGCCAATAGGAAAACAGAAATAGTATAGGAAGAAATGTTGGGCACATCAAGGTAGAAGAAGAAAAGGGAAAGGTTATGCTTCCTCAGCATGAGGTACCCTAAACCCAGGAAGGAGGGGTTGGGAATAAGTTTTATAGACACTCTGCTGGTGGAGTTGAGCAAGGGTGTATTTTTTTGTTGTCGATGCCATTGTTTCCTTTTTGTATCCTTCAGATTAGTGGAACCAGAGAGAACATCAGATTACATAGTATTATGTATAAGTATGACCTTAATACATAGCAGAAGAAGCCTAGTATAGCAGCAGAAGGCTTTTTCTTCTTTGGGTTCATGTGTACAGTCTAGAGAGAAAGAGGGCAATCTGAAGAAGAAGACCCTAATACACAGAGAAGAACTCAAATACATACAGTGGATGGTACTGGTGTCCTTCTCAGATCCCTTTAACTGCCTAGTGCACCCATGTACCAGTCGCTATGTGCATCAGCTGTTATCAACTCACAACCACCCCCTTCTCCCAAGACTTGCAAAACGGAAGCTGTCTCACCTAGAAGGCTATTTCTCACCCAGACTTGTGCTGACTGGCTGGGTCCTTTCCCCAACATGGAACTAACTTATTTGTCTAATTTTCACTCAGAGTACCCTACCGTGGTCTCAGGATGAAACTAGCTTCTGAAAGCACCTCTCTGACCTGTTCTGCTCCTACCGCTTCCCTTTCTGTAAGACATCACTTGAACAAGAATCCTAATCTCAGGATCAATTTCGAGGAAGCCCAACCTATGACAAAAAGAAATACAAAAATAAATCCTAGTAGCTTTGAAGACAAATAAACATCATCAGAGAAGTTTATTTTTACAGGCTCCGGACCAAATGCTCTGTATCATTCACCACATAGAAACATTCTAAAAACATATTTTATGGATATTATTTCTAATCTTTTTTTGCAAGGTATTAAAAATGTCTTTTGCTTTTTCTTATTAATAGCAATCTCTCATCCATATTCTGCTCTGCACTTCAATTCACCACAGTCATGCTGCCCACTTTCTGACTGATAGTGATAGCATAGGTATCTCCACAGTTTTGTCTAGTAATGATAATAATAACAGTAAGTGCTGACATTTCTTGAACACTTGTACATCCCAATAGCTTTTGGAAGTACTTACATAGATTAACTCATTTAATCCTCAAAGTGGCCCCATGAGATAGGGATCATTATTGTCCTTGTTTTGAAGAAGAGGAAATTAAAGCACAAAGTTTTTTGTTTTTGTTTTTGTTTTTGTTTTTTTTTTGAGACGGAGTCTCGGTCTGTCACCCAGGCTGGAATGCGGTGGCCGGATCTCAGCTCACTGCAAGCTCCGCCTCCCGGGTTCACGCCATTCTCCTGCCTCAGCCTCCCAAGTAGCTGGGACTACAGGCGCCCGCCACCTCGCCTGGCTAGTTTTTTGTATTTTTAGTAGAGACGGGGTTTCACCATGTTAGCCAGGATGGTCTCGATCTCCTGACCTTGTAAGGCACAAAGTTTTTAAAGGCAACTTCTCAAGGTCACATAATGCGAATAGAGGTGTTAGGTTAGTCCAGTCCAGACTTTCTGAATACAGAGATCATGTTTTTAACCACTAGTTTCCTATATCCACCCACTCCCACTGACTCTACAACATCTGAGGTGATATAATGGCTCCACACTCTCTCAGTTCTCTGTTACTTCCCATGGAGGAAAATACATTAGTTGCCCATATGATATACAGTCCTCATCTCACCCAGAAAGATTTTCTTGTGAAAAAAATAAGAGCTTATTATGGGAGATAATATGTATGTTATCTTACAACATAAAGTTGCCTTTAAAAGAGAATTTGCAGATGTGATTAAGTTAAAGACCTTGAGATTAAGTGATTATTCTGAATTATCTGGGTGGTCCACTGTAATCACAAGGATCCTTAAAAAAGGAAATGGGGAGCCAGATTCGGAATTTATTAGACTTTTAACCTTCAGAACCAATTTGTGTTTTAAGCCAGTAAATTTGTATTAATTTATTACAACAGCAATAGAAAATTAATGCAGAGACTGAGATAATGCATGTAAGATGATTACCATGCTACATAACTGGAACATAGACCTAGTATCCAACTATTAGATATTATTATTATTGCTGTTTTTATTTATTATTAATGATATCATTTTGAATGTCTGAGAAGTCTTCAAAGAGCAGTTGTAGCCTAACTTGGTCATTAAATACTGATGAACTAAAAACAATGGGAAGTGCCTGGTAAAAGGAACAATGTTGGCAAAAATATGGTAATGGAATAACACAAGGTTTGCTGAGAAGCATGTTTTGGAGATCCTTCAATGACAAACTTTATGCAGTTGGAAGCCTTTAGAGTTAGTGATATGTTGGAAGCTTTGTTTTCAAGAATTTAATTTGATGGGTAATTGACACTGGGCAAAGTTCAAGAAAAAGACACTGACTCCAGTACTGAGATAAGAGCAAGAATTACAGAAATATAGTGGAAGAAGAAATAATGGGATAGCTAGAGTATGAACTTCCTGAGGGCTGGGCCTCTGTATCACACATTTTTTGGGAACACCTAAGAGTGTGACAGTATTGATTGTGAAATATATACTAGTTTAACAAGGAAAGAAACCATTTAGAGAAAGGCTAAATAAGATGTGACTTATGTCTCCAAGTTCTGGGATAATATCTAGTATCTTTCTTTTAGCCTCAGTGTCTAGGAGAGTGTTTCCACTAATGCTCAAAAAAAGATTTATTTTGGATGGGTTTTAGGCTTTTATTTCAACTCCGTAATGAACTAAAGCTCTGTAGAGAGGCAAGAATGGGAGATACTTGAATTGTCAGTAAAGAGATAATTGAATTAGTAAATGTGAGTAAACAAAACCTTAAAATATAGTCCATATGGGAAAAACTCTGGATGATCCAGCAATTGCTATAATTGCCCAGAGTCTGAATCTCAAACTTCTTACTCCTTGACCAGTGTGTGCATGTTATACCACAGTTGTCTAAATGACTAATAATTATTAATAATATTTATCTTTTAAGCTGCAAGCCAGAAAATATATCTACCTTCAACCTTGTTGTGATTGTTAGTTAGAAAATGTTTCTAATTAATGTAAATCTTAAGGAGGCAGATACTGAAGAAGTGAAAGTACTTGGGATAATAATGTAGAAAAAATTAAGATACTGTTGTTGTATTAGCAAGGATTTATATGCTTTTATTTGTTCCCAGCAAAAGAATCATTATCTCCCCCCACTCATTAAATCATTTGATTGCACACTTGGTATTTTAAGAGTTCCCAAATGTCATGCAGTTTTAACATGATATTTGTTTGTGTGTGTGTATTTTGGGAAAGGTGCGCTTGCTAATAAATTTAAGACAGCATGGCTGCATTTCATATGGCACCTAACCTCAGTCCTGTGAAATATTGTCATGGTTACCTGCAAAGCAGCAGGATGTATGTGGGTGAAAGATGAGGTTCAAACAGTATAAGAATAGGCTCTTTAACAGAAACCAGATTATGGACAAAGAGAGGAAGGTGGAAGAAGGTGGAGGAAGGTAGGAGGAACTGTGAGCAGACCAATGATCAGCTGTTTTTGTACTAATGCATTGACTAAATAATTTCTTTTCCGTAGTCATGACCTAATAATTATTAGTTTCAAATGGTTGCATCTCAGAGACTGTGTCCTTTATGGAAGTTGCTCCACAACAAATTGGAAGAAAGTGGGAGTGAAATTATAAATTATCAAAGTAAGGGAATTATTTAAGGAAAGGATGAGTGTGTTCATTAGGACACAGGGTGGTCCCCGTACTTCAGGCATTTGGAGATTATAGAAACACTGAATAATCCAGCTTGTAAGCTTTAGTACATTTACCTAGACTCTTTAGCCACTTTTGTGTTTTTAAACTGCTTTGCAATGATAATTTGTTGTTCATAAGCCTTCTCCTAAAAAAACCAAAATTTCTTTCTATGGTTATTAAAAGTCTTCATTATTGCCTAGATTTCTCAAAATCTAGGTTGATTTCACTTATTTGTAAAAAGTTACTCATTATTTCATTCTGTTTCCTACTTTTCAGCAGCTTGGTTAAGTGTAATATTCTCTTATTATTTTTACACTTCTCTATGAATTTAGAGGAGAGAGAAAATGGCTAAAAAGAGACGGCATTTTTAAAAGCATAGATAGTTCAGTAATAAACTTAACAACACTCTGTGTAGCTCTTAGCAAATACCAACCTAGGCTGTGGAGCAACCACAACAAAAAAAACGTCACATGCACAAAACAGAAAAAAAGACAAAGTGATGAGCCCCATGTGAAGCGGAGGAGCAAAGGGATTTGGGACTACAGAAGACTGAGCAATTAAAAAGAGACTAAGTTATAAACAAAGATTATTCAAACCAAACTCCGACACAAGCTTGTTTACTATTCACATAATGAATATGAGAATGGATACTTAAAACAAGTTTCTGAACATTCCCATTAGGGATAACATAAAACTAAGGACCTCCTGTCACCCAAAAAAAGCAACAAATTCTTTTTGAAAGATATAGACTCCTTGAATCTGGTAATTCCATCTTAATTTACCTACTCTTGTAAATAATCTCGGATGAATATTTTATAATCGTGAATGACTCGATAAAATGAAAACAAGTTTGCCAAAAAATATACAACTTCAGGAAATAGAATCTGATTTGTGAAGATACTCTTTCCATGAAGTTTAACTTTTTTTCGAGTATATATTTTAGTACTATTATTTCTGCAGTTTAAATTGATGCTAAAGGTGTATAGAAATGAAACTGGTAAGAAAAAAGCGACGTTTTTTTTTTTTGTTTTTGTTTTTGTTCTTCATTCCCAGAAGAAAAGCCTCAAGCTGCAACAGGGCAGTTTTTCTCCAGGGTCCAATGATAACAGAGCCAATTATGTTGTGTGATGCATTCACCACCCTTGCAATTCTCCTACATGCATACATAAAACTCTGCACATGTATGTGTCAGAATTTACTAATATGTATTCCAAATATTTCTTCATCCATCAACAGAACTGTACACTCAAAAGGAAGTAGAAACTAAAATGTGCTTCATTAGCTTTTCAAATAATGTTAAATTTACAGACATGTTAAAGAGCAGGCTGCTGTCTCAGATTAAGCCAGACTCTTCAAGGTAAGAACCAATAAAGGTAAATATTTTCAGTTGATGATACAATTTTATTCTTTAAAAAAATACTAGTCCGGGCGCGGTGGCTCACACCTGTAATCCCAGCACTTTGGGAGGCCGAGGCAGGCAGATCACGAGGTCAGGAGATCAAGACTATCCTGGCTAACACAGTGAAACCCCGTCTCTACTAAACATACAAAAAAATTAGCTGGGCATGGTGGTGGGCGCCTGTAGTCCCAGCTACTCGGGAGGCTAAGGCAGGAGAATGGCGTGAACCCGGGAGGCAGAGCTTGCAGTGAGCTAGATCGTACCACTGCACTTCAGCCTGGGTGACAGAGCAAGACTCCATCTCAAAATAAATAAATAAATAAAATAAAATAAAATAAAAAATTACAACTGCCTTTTTGTGTCCCTGTATCTCACCAGCACAAACAAACAAACAAACCCACTAACTTTTACAAGTCGAAATCTAAGATCTCATTTGCAGCCCGTTGACCCAAAATCCATAGCATTGTCCTGAACATGCTGTGAACAAAAGCCAATACATACATCACTGTATACTACATGCTCTCTGGTTCTCATAATGGGAAAAAGATTCAGGAAGCAATACAAACGTTTGCAAAGGAAAGAATCCTTATGATATTTTGGTGTGACTTGTCTTTAAAGTGAATTGAGCTGTCATTCTTTTATTTTTTTTCCTATAAATAAAACATTACTGTTTTAATGCCAGCTGGGTTTTCCTCCTCAGAATATAACTTATAATAGAAAAATAATTCTTTTTTTTGGAGAATAATTATTTTCTTGTTCAATAACTCTAAGCCTTCTAATTCTTGCTTTTTCGTTCTAGAACATACATCAGTAAGCATTCTATGATAACCAGAAGAATATTTGTAAACATATTAATAAATGTTTTGCCATAGATTTAGAGCTATAATTTTAGGGTGAAAACCATTTAGAAATCTCTCAATTTTACTGATATATAGTTTGAGGTCCACAAATATTCAGTGGCCAAGATCTCCTGTGAGGGTCAGAAAAGACAGTAAGACAGATCTTATGATGGACTTTTGTTTCTTATTAGAGGGGAGAAAACACTTGAATCAAATATTTGGTTACATGCTTTTTTTTTTTTTTTAAAGGCAGCAATAGTCCTTAATGGTTCTGAGTCTGCAGGGTAGACTGGAAACTTAATCTTCTCTCTCTCCCCAGTGATGTTGATAGAATTTTTTAAAACTACTATATGCACAAAGAGAACAAAAAGGTGTGGTATCATCAGGCAAGAGGTTTTATCAAATGTCTGGAAGACAGAAAGTAGATTGAAGAATGCCAACAAATACAGCAGGCTGTGGGAATCCATTGTACAATTACCAAAGAGGAAATGAAGAGGAGGGATTCCAGGTTTGAACATGGAAATGTCATATATTACTGAGCACCAGGCACTTTACACTCCCTCCTCAAACCTCCACATGCAGAACAACCTGCTGCCGGCATGTACCCAGTGAAACCTCCAACAGAGTACAGTTCTCTAAATGATTCAAAAGAGCCCTCTGGTAAGAAGTAAAGAAGCGAATTTGGATGTTGGCACCCTCGTTTAAATCTCCTTTAATTCTAGAATGTAATGCATATCTGAAATAAAAGCCAGGTATCTGACTCATTACCCTTAAGAATCAGCCAACATACTCTGTTAATGTACAAAGAGAGCACTTTTTTTCCTATTATTTATGAACCAATAACCCAAGATATTACTCATATTATCATTATGGATTGATAATTAAAATGTTTGAGGCTGGGCGCGGTGGCTCAAGCCTGTAATCCCAGCACTTTGGGAGGCCGAGACGGGCAGATCACGAGGTCAGGAGATCGAGACCATCCTGGCTAACATAGTGAAACCCCGTCTCTACTAGAAAAGACAAGGCGAGGTGGCGGGCGCTTGTAGTCCCAGCTACTCGGGAGGCTGAGGCAGGAGAATGGCCTAAACCTGGGAGGCGGACCTTGCAGTGAGCTGAGATCCAGTCACTGCACTCCAGCCTGGGTGACAGAGCGAGACTCTGTCTCAAAAACAAAAAAAAAAAAAAGAAAAAAATGTTTGAAAGTAGAAGATAAATATAAAAAATAAAAAGACAGTACCAAGAGGAAATCAAGGCAATTTCCAGAAGAAAGATAACATTCCAGAAATTGTTTACTGTCTTTATAGACATTCACTAAGATATTGCATCTATGAAAAATAATTACATGCTATATAAAAGTATCAATAAAAAATAAAAGCTACTGAAAATGAAAATGTATAATTAAAAAACAGAAGTTGCCTATGAACTTTGGAAGATAAGAGTAAATAAAATCTCCTGGAATATAGAACAAAATAATAGAGAGTAAAAAATATAAAGGAAAAATCTTACATATAAATGATTAATCTAAGGGTCCTAATATGACTCAGTGGAGTTCAAATAGAGACTAAATTGGAGAAAATGGAAGGGGTGAATATAGGAGGTATTATCAATGAAAAAATAGGCCAGGCGCAGTGGCTCACGCCTGTAATCCCAGAACTTTGGGAGGCCGAGGCGGGTGGATCACCCGAGGTCAGGAGACCAGCCTAGACAACATGGCAAAACCCTGTCTCTACTAAAATTACAAAAATTAGCCAGGCGTGGTGGCACACACCAATAGTCCCAGCTACTAGGGAGGCTGAGGCAGGACAATCGCTTGAACCTGGGAGGTGGAGGTTGCAGTGAGCTGAGACTAGCCCACTGCCCTCCAGCCTGGGTGACAAAGCGAGATTCTGTCTCAAAAAAAAAAAAAGAAAAAAAATAGAAGAGGGACAAACAAGTGTTCAGATTGAGAACTCCCATGGAGGGCTGATGCAGATGAATTTAAAAAGATCTAAGGATAAAGGGAAGATTTTAGAAATTGAGAGTAGTATACACATACGTGAGAGCATGTCAGTGAGAGAGATTGATTTGAGGATATACTTTGGCAAAATGATGGATTAACTAAGCATGATTAAGACATTAGATCCAGTAAAAGGTGAATTTAAACCAAAATAGAAATAAAGAGAAGTCCCAACATGACAGTTCTAAAGCAGGCCTGGAGAGCAATCTGTCCAAATCAGAGCAGAAGGATGGAAGGCTCCTGGAAGGTATTTCTAGGGGGAAATAAAGTTTAAAACAAAGACAGTGTGGTTGCTAAGTTGGGATCATGGCAGTGATCCAGCTGAGAAATAAGCATGGTAGTGGAGGACTTGAGAAAATAATGGATTTGGATTAGATTTTGAAGTTAAAACTGATCAGATTTGCTAGAAGATTGGATGGTCGATGTGAACAAAAGAGCAAAGTCAAGTATAAATCCAAGATTTTCATTTTAACCACCCAAGGGAATAAGAAAGGCCCTTAGAAATGTAAGGGTCAATGAAATATCTGTGCAAGAATGCGTGTTTATACATACGTAAGTTCAAATTAGAGCCAAAAGTCTGTGGGGTTCAAGAAGAATAAAATTAAGGAATGAAACTAAGATTAAAATTCAGGACTAAATGGCATGATTCATATTAAAGATACTGAAGATAATGTGAGGTAAGCAAACATAGCTTTTACACAAAATGAGAGAAAAAAAGGGATGTCATAAACTTCAGGAAAAAACAAACTAGCAAACTGTATAAAATATGCATGATCTAACGAAGTAAATAGTTTTAGTTGGATAAAACTAACCAATGCCTGGCATTAGTTTGAGTCGTTCACTCATGTAACCATTCTTAATTCATCCATTTATGTAACAATGAACTGCTATTATGTATCAGGCACTATTAGATATGTGGAAGAAATAATAGTAAACAAAATAGATAAGTCTTTTATAAGCCTTCATTACATGAAGAAAGTGGATAAATGAATAAGAGATACAAATGTAGTGTAGGTAAAAGTACACTGCAGTAAACAAAAGTACAGTCAGAAAATAGAAAGTAGTGAAGAATACTTTTAAAGATGATGCTTGAGGCCATGTGTGGTGGTCCATGCCTATAATCCCAGCACTTTGGGAGGTAGAGGTGGGGGGATCACTTGAGGTCAGGAGTTCGAGAGTAGCCTGGCCAACATGGCGAAACCCCATCTCTACTAAACATACAAAACTTAGCCAATCATGGTGGCACATTCCTATAATCCCAGCTATTCAGTAGGCCGAGGCAGGAGAATCTCTTGAATCCAGGAGGCAAAGGGTGCAGTTAGCTGAGATCATGCCACTGTACTCCAGCCTGGGTGACAGAGCGAGACTCCGTCTCAAAAATTAAAAAAAAAAAAAAAAATTATATTAAAAAAATTAAATAAAATGAAAAGACAAAAATCAGCCAGGAATGGTGGCACAGTTCTGTAGTCTGAGATACTTGGGAGGTTGAGGCGGGAGACCCACCTAAGCCCGGTAGGGTAAGGCATCTCTGAGCTGTGATTGCACCACTGCACTCCAGCGCTCCAGCATGGGTGAGAGAGCAAGACCTTGTCTCGAAAAAAAAAAAAAAAGAGAGAGAGAGAGAGAGAGAAAGAATTGAGAGATTGAGAAAGTGTTCCTTGAGGAAATGACCTTTAAGCAGAGATATGAATTAAGTAGGGAGAGAGTCACTGAGATATGAGATACATATTTAAAAAATTGTTCTAGAAAGTGTAAATTTTCTTGAAGCAGGACTGTGCATTAGTATGAAGGAAGCAAGAACAAGTGAGAGGCAGTGTGAAAAGAGAAGTTGGAAGAAGAGTTGGATCCAGATTACGCAGATTTTGTACTTTATTCTAAGTGGGATGGGAGGTTCATAGAGAGTTCTGGAGAGGAATGAGGGGATTGATTTACATTTTAAAAGGTTTGACCTGTTTGTTGTAGGAAGAAGATTGTGAGGGTGGATTCAAGAGGGGAAATGAGATAAATTAGGAGTTAATGGTAGTCATCCAGGTGAGAATAGATATAGTATGATGTAATTATTACATATTGCATGCCTCTATCAAAATATCTCATGCACTCCATAAATGTATACACCTACTATGTACCCATGAAAATTAAAAACAAAAAATGTTTAATATAGCAAACCTCCAGGCATCAAGCACAGCATCTTATGATTGTTTTTTATAGTCTTGTGTGGTTTGAAAAAAAAAAAAAGAAAGAAAGAGAGAGAGACAGAATAGATATAGTAGTGGAAGTGTTGAGAAAATATTTGATTTGGGTTATATTTTGAATGTAGAGCCAATAGAATTTGCTAGAGAACCAGATGTTCAATGTGAAAGAAAGAGCAAGATCGATCAAGTATAGCTTCGAGATTTTCATTTCAACAACTGGGTAAATGGTGCTGGCATTTATTGAGATGAGGAAAAAAATAGGGTGGTTCTTAGCAGTGAACATCTTTGCTATCAAGATTATTTCCTCTGCTATGAGTTTCAGGAGTTCATTTGGAAAAGCACAACCATAACGTGACTTCTAATTCTAAGCTGTATTAGTCTTTTCCCTGTAACAGTGAATACAGAAAGCTATTGTTTCTGTCTGAACTGAGGTAAGAAATGAAAACAAGCATATACTGGGGAAAGGGAACATCCATTACTATTTCAAAATAAGATCAATGTGATATGTGTGCATAAATACATAGGCACATATGTACAAATTATATATATATAATTTGTGTGTGTGTGTATGTGTGTGTGTGTGTGTATATATATATATATTCTTGTTAAAGCACCCATGAAGCATGTATAAACTGATTATAAAATGTTATCTTAGTTTGGGATCTCTAGAAGCAGAGCATGAGACAGAAATTTGGATGCCTGTCATTTATTGAGGGAGTGCTTTTCAGAAGGAAGAAACCTAAGGAAGGTAAGGGAGTGAGGGCATTGGAATAGGAATGAGGAAGGGGCTGGGCCAGATCCACATAGCATGATGGGGAAGGAGATGCTAAGAACATAACTGCACCTGTAATTTCTTTTACCTTGAGATGAGGGGGTTGGACTTTCATATTCTCTATCGGTTAGTCATTGAGTGATTATGGGCCTCCCTAGATGGCTGCCTTCACCAATTTCTTTTCTTTTTTTTTTTTAGACAGACTCACTCACTGTCACCGAGGCTGAAGTGCAGTGGCATGATCTCAGCTTACTGCAACATCTACCTCCTGGGTTGAAGCGATTCTCCTACCTCAGCCATTGTGAGGAATCAGATCCAAGAAGGTAGAGGAATGCATCTACCTGAAAAGGAAAATGCATCTATAGAGAAAACTGGAGATTGGTAACATAAAGGAGATTGTTCAAAGAAGTAAATATGTTAATCATCATGACAGCCAGATTCCTCGATATCATAGAAGGGAGACAAATATGAAAGGGAGGAAACTAAACTGAACGCTGTGGCGTTGAGTGGGAGCTGGATGGGTAAGTGTGAACTAAAGGTTTCCAACAGCCCAACATATAAGGCAGTAAATACAGATGTATATTGTGTTATGTTGCATGTGTACACTCACATGTTCCCTAGGTCTGTTCACTTATCTGGGATCGAATCAGTAACATCCCAATAACATGAGCAAACTTAGAGTTCAAAACTTGGCTTCTCAAAACCATGTCCACTAAAGGCAATCAGGGCTCCTGGTAGAAATGGTAATATCATGTCTGGAGCAAGAAAATTATGAGATGAACCTAGAATATCTTGTGCCAGAAAC